GTGGTGTGTGTGTGTGTGGTGTGTGTGTGTGTGTGTGTGTGTGTGTGTGTGTGTGTGTGTGTGTGTGTGTGTGTGTGTGTGTGGTGTGTGTGTGTGTGGTGTGTGTGTGTGTGTGTGTGTGGTGTGTGTGTGTGTGTGTGTGTGTGTGTGTGTGTGTGGTGTGTGTGTGTGTGTGGTGTGTGTGTGTGTGGTGTGTGTGTGTGTGGTGTGTGTGTGTGTGGTGTGTGTGTGTGTGTGTGTGTGGTGTGTGTGTGTGTGGTGTGTGTGTGTGTGGGTGTGTCGCTGCTACGATTTTCACGCGCATTCGATTCACCAATGCCATTTAAGCTCGATTCTCGACAGCTTTATCAAACGGAAGGTCACTCAAAACAAAGCCTACAAGACAAACCACACACACAAAAAAACACAATCAAACAAAAATACTAAGAAAAAAAATAAGGGAGCGTGAAGGGTGGAAGGTAGGGAGGTTTGTGGGGGGGGTGGGGGGGAGGGGAGCTCTATCTCACGCCCACGAGCTCCCCTCCTAGACCTAACATACTAGAGAACTTCTAAAGGTCAACCGCGGGAGGCAGCGGAGAGGAAGCCACATAGTGCTGGGCGGGGGTGGGGGTGGGGGTGGGGGGGAGGGGGGGAGGTCGCCGGCTTTCACGTGCACCGGTGGTCGCGTGTGACTTCGGGTATCCGTGGTTACACACGACGCAACTATGCACACACACATGCACATACGTACGTATCAATATTGTCTTATATGTTATGTATTTTCCCTGCATCTTTCGTTCATTCATTCATACATACATAAATACACGCACACACACACACACACACACACACACACACACACACACACACACACACACACACACACACACACACACACACATACACAAAGTGCATGCACGCACACAAGCACTCCTTATCTTCCCAGGACACAGCTGTGTTACTTGCACGAGTTATTTTTTTCCTAACGTTTGTCGAATATGGGGACTGCACTCTGGCTTTTATCTTATACCTCTCCTATTTCTCAGTGGAAAAAAAAATCCAGAAATAGTGAGATGGGGTGGGGGGGAGGGAGCGAGATGGGAGGGGAAAGGGAGGGAGAGGGGACAGAGGAGAGAGGGGGGTTAGCTGGGGGAGGGGGATTGCAAGATTAGTAGAAAGAGAGAGATAAGAGAGAAAACGAGAATGGAGTATAAAACTGCCACCGTAGAGTCGAGACGGTTAGCGTCAAGAGGTTAAGTACAGGGTACAGCAGCTACCCACCCGCACCCCCACCCCCCCAAAAGGGCCAGCTGGAGTCGTCCTGCATCGCCACCAAGCACAGCTGCCACGCGAAAACGTCCCTCATCATCACCATCCACGACAATCACCTCAAAATCCGAGCCGAGGAAGCCACACCTGCGCTGAAGGACATTCGGCTAAAATCACAATCACAAACTTATCCGAACTGACTATCCCTTCGCTTGGCCCCTGCTTGCTGCGTCCTGCCCCTCGCCCGCTGGTCTGCTTGTCTCCTCCTCGCGCCGTCCTGCCTCATAAAGGCCTTGGTATCTTTTGTGTTCTTATCTATTCGCTTACATCCTCCCCTTTTCTTTTCGTTGCTTTTTTTTCTTGTCTTTTCTTCGACCGAAATGTCTACATAGTTTTATCAGTCTACGTTCATGTGTGCTCTCAATGTGCCTACATTTAGAATATTATTATAAACACACACACACAAACATACACACACACACACACACACACACACACACACACACACACACACACACACACACACACACACACACACACACACACACACACACACACACGCACGCACACACATACACACACACACACTCGCAAAAAGAGTCCCAGGTACATTAGTCTGACACAAACGGAGTCAATCTCTGGGGCGCGCGTGACGTCATCAGAAGGTCCCTAAACGCCGCGCCAAAAATCTGTTACAAAACCTCTCTTGAGATTATGAACGAGAGAGAAGGAAAAACAAGAGTGGGTGAGTGAGTCAGTGAGAGAGTGGAAAGTGGGGAGAAGGGAGTGGGGAATACGGAGTAGGGAGGGGCGAGAAAGGAGAGAGGAGAGACCGAAGAAGACTAGAATCAGAGAGATAGACAGGTATATCGAGATAGACAGACAGATAGATAGAGAGAGAGAGAGAGACGGATTAATCTTTAATACCAAAACGCACAAACGAATGCATTTCCCTCTCTTCCACTGCCTCTCCCTCCTCCCTACCCCTCTCCCCCTCTCTTATTCCTTCCCCTCATTAATACCTGCCAGTTTCCCCTCTCAAACAGATTGCCGATTTCTCCCGCTCCATCTTCCCTCGTCTCCCAAGAGGTTACAGCAACACACACACACACATACACACGTCGCATGAGAACACATTAGCTCCACTTCTTCAATCTATTTCTTCCAGAGAGAGAGAGAGAGAGAGAGAGAGAGAGAGAGAGAGAGAGAGAGAGAGAGAGAGAGAGAGAGAGAGAGAGAGAGAGAGAGAGAGAGAGAGAAGCAGACAGACAGATAGACAGAGAGAGAGAGGCAGATAGACAGATAGTCAGAGAGAGAGAAGCAGACACAGATAGACAGAGAGAGAGAAGCAGACAAGCAGAGAGACAAAGAGAAAGCCCGATAAATACCGGACAGAGTGACAGAAACAGAGACGAGAAGAAAGCTGAACCTCCTCTCCCTTCTCAAAGACCCGGGCGTCCCCAAGCACAGGCGCTCGGATGCTGCATTGATTAAGGCTCGAAAACATTCACTTACAAAGGCCTCACAACCGCGGTCGTAAAGTCACATCCCCACTTATAAAACCTTCCTGCTCCCACGGTCGTCGATTTACTTTCACAATCACACTTACCAAAACCTTCTTACTCTCGCGGTATAGATTCAGATTCCCACTTACAAAACCTTCCTACTTTCGCGGTCGTAGATTTACACTCGCACAAACTTGCTAAAGCGTCATCCTCTCGCAAACGTTATACACTCTTGCAAGCTCTTCATCACACGTCTGCAGTTGTCTATTTACACTTACACTAGCACTTGCAAAACCTTCACATTTTCGCGATCGTATTTTTACAGAGGGGGGAAAGGGATATACGAGAAAGGAACTGCAAATTTACAAACTCTAAACGCCTCGAATTTACAGATACTTACATGATAAAAGCGTAATAACAGGCAAAATGTCCTAGATATACTGAGGTACTGATAATAAGGAACATCCTCCAATCTTCGTAATAACATTGAATTGGCAATCATATCCAAACCAAAATCACCTTGAATTGAACTATTTGCCAATCTTGACCTCAAAGACTCGAAAACCTAAAGAAACACACAATGAGGCACTGATGTTAACGGAATGATGTTCAATAGAAAATCGAACAGATGAACACAATGAATAAATCACACAAAAAAAGAAGAAATGAGATTGAACTACATACGAATAATGAAAAGCAAGGCAGTCGAACACAGAAACCACTACGAAGATGAACTGGCACCGTCGCACTGGGAAACACCTGGCCTACGTTTCAAGGCACTGCGAGAGGGAGAGGGAGAGGGAGAGGGAGCCTGGAGAATTAGGGAAGAAAAAGGGCTAGAAATGATGAAATGAGAGGGAGAGAGAAAAACTAAATGTAGAAGTACAGCACATTCCTCATCCGATCAAGGGCCATCCCCAATCCCCATGTCATAATTCATAAACATATCAACCCCCCCCCCAATACTACGACTATCTCCCCATCACACCCTAGCAGAAGCCGCATATCTGCAGCGCATGACCTCCGCATAGGCTCCGCATGGCTTCCGCATGCGATCAAAAAGGCATGCTGCACCCCCCCCCTCCCCCCAATCCTTTCCCCACGGAGGTGATGTAATCTTAAAAGGAACTACACGTGTCCGCTGGCCGCCGAACTTGCCCTAACCTTGGCCAACCTCGCGTTCTGTGTCTTACGTAATGCTCGCCCCTTCTCTACCGTACAGGCCTAGGGCGATGGAACCAATTTTGGACAGCGCTCGGATACGGATCCTTCGTTTAAAAGAGAGATAAGACGATGCGGGAAGATGAAAAATGAGTAGGAGGACGGAGGACGGAGGATGGGGAAGGGGGGGGGGGGAGGAGGAGGAGGAGGAGGAGGAGGAGGAGGAGGAGGAGGAGGAGGAGGAGGAGGAGGAGGAGGAGGAGGAGAAGGTAGGCGGCGGTAGAGAAGGCTGAGAGGAACGTAGGAAAAGAGGAAGAAAAGGAAAAAAACAAAAAAAACAGAGAAAGAGGAGACTGCAGTCGTGAATAAAGATGACGAACAGAGAAAGGAAAAGAGGGGTAGGGTAAGGGAAGGAAGGGAAGAAAAGGGAAGGGAGGGGAGGGGAAGGTAGAGCAGGCGAGAGGCAAACTTCGGCATCCGGGACTCTTGCCAGGGGCGAGGAATGTCAGGTGGTTAACACCCAGGGGAGGAGGACGAACTGAGAGGGGGAGGGGGGCACGGTTTGCGGCACCCCCCCCCCCGCCTCACCCTATCCCCCTGAGGCACCTATGCCGTTATGCTTTACTGTATTGGAGTCTCCCCTGAGCCCCTCCGCGAACCAAATTCACTGTGACCTTCGTATGCCGTCATTTTTCACTTATGTCTATGTCTCTGTCTCTGGTTCTGTCTGTCTGTCTGTCTGTCTCCCTCAGCCACACCTCTCTCTCTCTCTCTCTCTCTCTCTCTCTCTCTCTCTCTCTCTCTCTCTCTCTCTCTCTCTCTCTCTCTCTCTCTCTCTCTCTCCAATACACTTAGATAAGAAAAACATGAGAAAAAGCAAACGAGAACCGATAATTTCTCAGCGATTTTATTTCGGATAATGATTAGCAATTAAGAATCAACCAATAACGACCCCCGAATATCGCTTCTAAATAAAATCAGAACAACGCATAAAAAATGGAGAAATACGTAAATGCTTCAGAAATGCTCTTCGTTTAGAAAAACACCACTGAATCACTTCACAAAGACAGGGGCCGGTCTACTAACACGAGAGGGGCGCCGGATCCAGCCACGGGTGTCGGAAGCGCTGCACCACCCCGGCCGCCCACTGCAACAGGTTTTTCACGCCCACGCCACCTTCCGAGCCGCCCTCGGTGCCGCCCTGGAGCTCGTCCCGCTCGTGGGCGGCGGGCAGGATCGGGCGACTCGTGCTGTTGCTGGCGTTCAGGATGGTGTTCTTGCTGCCCCGCCTGCTGCTCGAGTTTCTGCTGGAGCGCCTGCTGCTCGACCTGCTCATGGTCAAGCGGGACAGCAGGGAGAGTGCACGGCCGCCTCCTCCTCCTCCTGCTCCACCGCCCCCTCCTCCTCCTCCTCCTCCTCCTCCTCCTCCTCCTCCGCCTCCTCCTCCTGCACTCACGCTGTCATTCATGTTGCTCCCGACGCCCAGGGAGTTCCTCGATCCTCCTGAGACGCGCATCCCCCCCTTCGCCGCCCTTGCACACAGTCACGACCTGAACGCTGTCTTAGTTCGCGGGGGCGCTACGTGGCCTCCGCGGGGCGCCGCATCCTCCTAAACTTGGCCTCCGTGGCCTTGGGCGCGGCCGGGGCCCCGACATAAGCGCCCCCGTAAACCACTTTTATGAGTCGCAGCCAACGGCACTGTGCGGCAAGGCTGCTTCCGCCGCTGCGCCGAGCCTCGTCGGCGGCACCGCCTTCGCAGGCACACACGAGCACCACGGCCTCAGCAACACTTTAGTTTCCAAAGGCACACGTCAGCTTGATCTCTGCCTGCTCGAGCTCCTCCGCCACACACGCAGGGCGGAGTCAGACCACACTCCTCGAGAAGAGGCCACACTCCGCCTCCGCCTTCGCTCCTCCTGCTTCGGCGACACAATGGAGGAGACCACGCGCTCGACGGGTTAGCCTCGACGCACAGGTGGGTGGCCTCTCGCCGCCGCCCGACCACCTGAAGCGGCCGCCGTCGATCGCCTCAAGTCTGCCTGGGAGGCTTTGGGAGGGGGGGAGGGGGATTGATTCACGTGCTTTTTATTCCCTTTTCTTTCGGGACGGAGTAATAATATGCAGCTCGGCAAAAGATGCACGACACACACGGGGAGCGAGATGGGACACTGAACCGCGATGGCCTGGCAGCTCGGGAGGCACTCGACTTGGCACCCTTAATCACTTGTCATCACCACCGCCGCCAACACGCCTTCGAACCCTCACAACATAACACTGCAACACCGCCAGGGGAGAAGAGGACGAGATGGGGGTGAAGGGAGGGGGAGGGGAGGGCGGAGACAGAGGTCGTTACATAACACGAACATCTTGTGTAACAGCCGCCGTTACTGGTTGGTCGGGAGGATGCGAGTCAGCCGAGAGCCCCCGTGGCCGGGCGCGCTGGCAGGGTCATCTTCGGAGCATCCCTTTCGGGGCAGATCGCGAGGAGGGGGAGGGCGAGGAGAGGAAGGGAGAGGGGAGAGGAGGTAGGGGGATGGTGGGAGGAGGAGGAAGAGAAAGACAAGACGATTGGCTCGAGATACGTCCCTCTATCTTCCTCCTGTAGGTGAGGCTCGGTCCGATACACACAGGGAAAGCCAGCCGAGCGCGAGAGGCAGTGTTTGGAGCACAACGCGGCCGAGCTGAGGCGCTGACGGTAATTCACCGACGTAGAAATGCCCTTGATTTCCTGCCAGGAGAGCGCGCGACGGCGGGCGAGGGAAGGCGTGAGCGGGCGTGAATGAGTGCGGGCGGTAGCGACTCACTGGTCCCGCGGGCACAGTGGCACGAGAGGTACTGGCTACCCCATACCCAGTGCCACCTGACCGCCACGCTCCGCCCTCCCTCCTCCGCCTCCCCCTCCGACCCCAGCGCCCACACCCCCCTTCACTCGGTTCTGAAATCCCTCCTGCGCTCCCTGATTAAACCCTTTATTGCTGGCTTTAACTGACATAATGGGGGCGGAGAAGGTGAAGGGGAGGGGAAGGGGGGGGGGAGCTGGTGGGTAAGAGGGAATCCACCGAAAGGCTCCTTATCTCGTACACACAAACAAATAACAAACAATACAAACACCTTGCTGCCACACAGCCAAAAGATGGTGACAGGACCAAAGGAACAAAACAAAGAACATACCATTAACAACATCCCCTGCGAACCAACACAATTAAAACGATGAATCATCTGATTGCCATTATGAACAATCACCTCCACCTTCAAACATACATACATGCACAGTGTATAAATATTCGCACACAAACACCAATTCTTGTACAATTATCCATACTATTAAACTAAAACACATATAACTGTAGTACATACATACGCATACAGACAAACCTACATTCACACATACATACTTACATAACATCATACACAAACACATACAGGCAGACACTCATACTGCGCTCGCATATACACATACACATACACATGCACATATCAGACACAGACAGACACAGACACACGTTCGCCCATCAAATGTGATCCGATACCGAAGACCCACAATAAAGGGTGCGTGAGGGGTATGGGTGGGGGTGGGGAGGGGGGAGTGATGGAGAGAAAGATGAGGGAGCAGGGGGTGGGGGTGGGGCAGGTATGATAGCATATGTTGAGAAGCAGGAAGAGAGATGAGAGGATGGGGATGAGAGGCTGGAGATGGGGATGGGTGGATGAGGAGGGGGGGGGATGGGGGGATAACTTTACCCCCCGTTTCTCGAAAGATACCTATGTATGGGCGGGCTAAGAGATGAAAGATAGCGAGCTTGGTTGAAGAGTATGAGAGTAGAGGAGACAGAGAAGGAAGATGGGGGAGAAGAGGAGGAGAGGGAGGAGGAAGAGGGAGAGGAAGAGGAAGAGAAGTAGGAGAAGGAAGTGGAGAAGGAGGAGGAAGGAAGAGGAAGGGGGGGAGGCAACGAACAGGAAAAGGCCAAGCACAATGAAGAAGAGATAAAAGAAAGGGAAGGCGAGAGACAAGAAGTAAGATAGATAATATAAAAAAAAATGTATCACAAAATTTCCGAACCCCTACTTGTCAGTAGGTCCTGCCTCCCACAATATATACATATACATATGTATGTGAATATATATATATATATAAATATATATAAATATATATGAATATATATAAATATATATAAATATATATAAATATATATGAATATATATAAATACATATAAATATATATAATATATATGAATATATATGAATATATATAAATATATATAAATATATATATACACATATATAAATATATATAAACAAATAAATAAATAAATAAATATATATATATATTATATATATATATATATATATATATATATATATATATATATATAATTATATATATATATATATATATATATATATATATATATATATATATATATATATATATATATATAAATTCATCCTGAAAAAAATTAAGAAAAGTTACTAAAAAGTAAGAAAGTTACTCAAAACACGATAATACATTAAAAAATAAACAAAACAAGAAATGTAACCACAGGAAAGAGCGAGAGAAAAAAAAATCCAGTCACGTGCAGGTGGGTAGACTGAGGTCACATGAAGGGGGGGTTGGGTGGAAAGGGAAGTAGGTGGGGGGCGTAGAGGGGGGGTGTGGGGGGAGGGAGGAGGTGACGGCGCGTGAGTCATCCAGTCCGGGATTGACTTACATTTCAGTCTAACCAACCTCCATCTCGGCGCTGGCCTTGTCATTTTTTCCCCCCTTCTCTGCCCTCCCTTGGTCGCAGTGTCGAGTGTCGCGAACTGGACCCGAACCCTCGCCCACACGCCTCTCCCTGTCCTTTTCCCTCTCCCTCTCTCACTCCTCCTTCCACTCTCTCTCTGTCTGTCTGTTTGTCCCTTTTACTCTCTCTCTCTCTCTCTCTCTCTCTCTCTCTCTCTCTCTCTCTCTCTCTCTCTTTCTCCAACTCCCTCTCTCTCTCTCTCTCTCATTCTCCAACTCCCTCTCTACTCCTCTCTCTTTTTCTCGCTTTCTCTCCATCTCTATTTACCTCTTCCCCCCCCCAAAAAAAAAAAAAAAATACACTATGCCTTATGTCCTTATTTCCCAACGAAGAGGCGAAGGGATACAGGTGATTATGGGCCAATCAAAAATATTAATTGCGGATCTTTTTCTCTATCCTTATCTTTATCTTCTTCTTCTTCTTCTTCTTCTTCTTCTTCTTCTTCTTCTTCTTCCTCCTCCTCCTTCTCCTCCTACTCCTTTTCTTCTTCTTTTCTATCAACCATTTCTTTTTCATTTTCCCCTTCCTCCACCTTACCCATTTCCGAGTCAAGAAGACATATTGAAGTTCGGCGGTTCGGGCCTTATCCGACAGAGCAGCTGAACGAACTACAGACTCTATAGAGCACGTCAGGGAGCGCTCTAAATGAATGAGGAACGCCCCTCATGCACGATGATAGGCACGTTCTTACCCTTGATGAATGTGACGTCATTGTTTCTAAAAATAACAGGTCAGTGAACTCCATACGTAGGTGTAATAGCCCCCCCCCCACCACTGCCACTCCCTCCTCTCCCTTTTACCCTTCCCCACCACTCCTTTCTCCCTCTCCTTCCCCCCCCCCCCCCTTCCTCTACTCTTCCCCCCTCTCTCCTTCCTCCCTCTTTCTCTTCTTCATCTTCACATTCCCCCTCCCTCTCTCTCCCCTCCCTCCACATACCCCTTCTGCTTTCCCTCCCTTCCTTCCCTCCCGAAAGAATGAGTGACTGGGAGGAAGAAAGGGGGAAGTAACAGAGGACCGAGAATGGGAAGGAGAGAAGTAAAGGGAATGGGAAGAAAGGAGGGAGGGAAAGAGGGTCAAGTGCGGATAAACACGAAGGAAGGCACAGAGAAAAGAAGAGAAAGGAAGAGAAAAGAAGAGAAAAAGAGGAAAAAAAGAAATAGAAAGAGAGAAATAAAAAAAAAAATGGAGACACTCCCAACACAAGAAAATAATAAAACAGACCCGAAACAACCGAACTTAATCAAAGGTCCAAAAATTGAAAGAAAAGAAAAGAAAAAAAAAGGCGGGGGCTCTCAACTTTGTCTCTCTCAAAGACATTCCAACGCGGAACGCCGGAGTGGAAAGAATTGTCAACAACAACAAAATTCAAACACGACAACACCAACCAATAAAAAACAACAATAACAAAGCGACCCCCCCCCACTGTCCTCCCCGCCCCTCCCCCGCCGCAAAAAAATAGTAAAGTAAGTAAAAACAATAATAGTAATCAACATCTGAATAAAATAAATATAAAATACCCCAAAATAAACGGATTTCTTGCAGTCGAATCAACGCCCACTCAACGGAGGCGATGATGCAACGCTAGAACCGGATGCAACAACAAGGGGAGACGAA